TACTTACGAACACATGTTCGGCGGCTCCGTTTACGGTTCTAGCCGAGTTAACACTTTGCGCTCGAGTGGTCACTCCGAGACACCACTAGAAAATGTTTATATCGCATTTCAAAATAATTCTTACATAAAGAAAATTTAGATTTGAAACATTGTCGAAATTATAATTAATATATTATAATTATAATTATTTATAATTATAGAGCGCATTTTATACGTGCGAAATTGAGTCTTGCGACTTATAATTATNAGATTAAATATTTTTTTTACAAAATTTTAGAAAAGTGAGGTCTACCAAGCTGAGGAGTAGACGACTGCTGAAATAATTATAATTATTTATAATTATAATTATAAGTCGCAAGACTCAATTTCGCACGCATAAAATGCGCTCTGTCGTATAAAATAGAGACAGCGTGGGTCAGAAAAATTATTTTAGATTTCCAATTAAAATAGCTTCAACTGCAAAGGGTTAACCCTTTGCGCTCGACTGGTGACCCCAAGACACCACTAGAAAATGTTTATATCACATTCCAAAATAATTCTTACATAAAGAAAATTTAGATTTGAAAAATTGTTGAAAGTAAAACTGTTGTATAAGTCGCAAGACTCTCTCTCAATATCATATAAAATATTTTCGTATAAAATAGAGATAGCGTGGGTCAGAAAAATTATTGTAGATTTCCAGTTAAAAATGGCTTCGAGTGTAAAGGGTTAAGGAACCTCGAACTATACTATACGTCGCCGAGCTTCGCTATCGCGCGCGCTTTCGCGTTCAATTTTAAGCGGACGATCGTGTCCTGCGGCAATTAAATCGTCCGTCCACCGTCCTCGATTTCAGTTCATTTTAACCCTTTGCACTCGGATGCCGCCGATACGTCGACGCAATTCGCATTCGTGGCAAAAAGCGTGTGGCGTGTCTTTTTATTATTTATTATTTTATTATTATTATATTCTCTATATATATTCTATTATATTATTATATTATTATTATCTCTATTTATTATTTTCCTTCGTACTGTAAGGCATGATTAAAAACACGAAATCTTTTATTTATCAGTTCCTAGAAGATTTTCGAGCGGCGCAATGATTTTTCTTTCAATTCGACTCTGTATAACGATGTCGAAATGTTTGCAAAATTTGTTCCGAGGGGAAAGGGTTAAGGTATACTGTGGTAGACTCAATTTAATTCGGAAATTGAACCTATGTTACCGATCGTCTATTCATAAAATGAATCGTCTATGCTCATAAAAATGTACATTATGTACAGATATATGTAAGATATATATCGTATGTATGACAATAAAAATATAATGACATATATATATATGTATATATTATATATTATATACATATTATATATATATATATATATATATATATATATATATATATATATATATATATATAAAAAAAAAAA